TGTAAGTACGGCGGCGCATCTTGGGTGCTTTGTTCACCTGGATATGTTCAATGACCAGAGAAGCTACATCTAAACCCTTAAGCTCAGCATTACTCTCTGCATTTTTAAGCATGTGCAGCAAAAATTCAGCACTCTTTTTGGGCCACCGTCCCTGTGTCCAGCCCCACTGTTTGGCCTGGGCACACCTACCAACCCACCACTATAATGCCTGAATGGCACACATTGCTTCTTTAATGTGACATCCTTCAGATACTTGGTGGCCTTTTGGATATGCATACCCTTGATGGCTTGGGCAGTTTCACGGGTGTTCTTAAAGTGAACATGAAGATTTGAGCCTCTTGATTTGCATGATTTTGTGGGGTTTTCTAGGTCAAAAGAGAATTGAACCATTTTCACAGGTCACCTCTGGCCACTTACAGGAAGAGCTGAATTTTTAGATGATATTTCTAGTTCTGCAAAAAAAAAAATACATTGGGGATTTTATAGCAGTTTCATTGCATCTAGATTTCTGAGTGATACTGACATCTTGAGGGTATTAAGTCTTAAAACACAGACAAGGAAGGCTTTGTCCTTATGGTACTATAAATGGACTTATTAATTTTCTGTCATACTGTTTATTGGTATCATTTAGAAATCCAGCTTGTTTTTTCACCAACAACTTTGCTGAAGTTGTTAGTTTATTAGAAAAGAACCTTTTTTTTTGTTGCGACACCCAGGGATCAAACTCAGGACCTTGCACTTACGAGGCAGGAGCAGCACTGCTGAGCTAAATCCCTAGCCCTAAGAACCAGTTTTCTTTGGTGAGGGTGGGGTGATTTTATTTATTTATTTATTTACTTACTTACTTATTTATTTGACAGGGTCTCCCTGTGTAGTTCAGGCTGGCCTTGAACTCACTGTGTGGCCCAGGCTGCCTTCAAACTCCAGGCAATCCTGCCTCAGCCTCCGGAGTGCTGGGATTACAGGAGTGCACCACCACGCCTGGCCACGGGAGGGATCTTTAAGGTTTTCTGTATAGAAGATTGTGTCATCTGCTGAGCGTAGTAGCCCACACTTGGAATCACAGCTACTTGGAAGGCTGAAGCAGGAAGATTGCAAGTTAAGGCCAGCCTGGACAATTTATAAGTGAGACCCTGCCTCAAAATAAAAGTATCGGCAATATGGCTCAGTGGCTGAGTGACTCAGTACTGGCATCTGCAAACATAATCTTATTTTTCTTTACCATACATGTCTTTTTTTTTTTTTTTT